GCCACAAAACACACCACCAGCCTCACCGAACGTCTCCCTGTTACCGCGATCTCGCCCACAGGAAGCCGCGACCGCGTAGCAGCAGGGAAAATGGCCGCAGATCCGGTTCGTAACTCGAGGCGGAGTTCGCAAGTCGAGGTAAATTTTTGAGTCCGGAGCTGGTCGTATCTCGAAAAATTTGTAAGGAGGGGCGTTTGTAACTCGAGGTACCACTGTACCAACCATGGTTAGTACTCATGTGGTACATCAGCAAGCACATGCCTGCTTCCGCACATTTAAAAAAAAATTGTATTGCTCTTAATCTAGAACCTGAAAGAAAAAAAGTAACAAATTAAAATAATTAAAAGGGATGGACTCAAATGGAGATAAACCAAAAGCAAAACTGATAAAAGAAAGAGGAAAAGAAATAAAGTACATGTTGAAATAAATGTATATACAACAAAATAACAAATCAGACCACAGAGTGATATTGATCAGATTCTCTACAACTTTGATAAAAGGCCATTTCATATGTAGAAAATGAACATTTGTTCCAATTTTACATCAAACATATACTAGTTTTTTCATCAGAGTAATACTTATTTTTTTAAGCTGCAGCCTAAGTAATAAATCCAAAGTTATTCTTACTTCAGTTGTTAATTTTCAGAATGTAATTTAGCATCACAGTCTCATTTTTCTCCTGTTTTTCTCTAATACTGTATTAGCAATTTTATGAATATTAAACCAGAACAGTACCAATGTAGAACAAGGCTGGAACACATGAGTCAATGTTCCCTTCAAAGTATTACATTTCCAACATACAGAAGTAGAAATCCAACCCTTTCTATTTATCCAAGTGAGAAGAGAAGAGGCTGACCAATAAACACAAAAAAGAAACATTTGTTGAAATAATGGCATCTTGAGATGAAAGCACACTTACATTAGCACATTTGTTGTTAAAGCAACATTCCAGCTTGTTCCATGTTGCCTTCAAGTTTTCTATAGTTATCTTAGTATTATAGATACTAAGTGTAAGTTTGGAAACCTCTAAAACATTTTCCAGTTTAAGGAGTTTCAGATAATGCTAATGGATCAAGCCCCAGATTGTAAAGTCAAAATATGTTTCAGCAGTTTTAGGCAATCCAGCCTGTTTGAAAATTGTTAAAGTGTTAAAAGATTGATTGATTCCAGTTTTTGCCCATAAATACCAAAAGAAAGATTTACCAACAATTTGAAAGCTAGGATTATCTGTATTTGAGGGTAGGCTGCAGTGACAAGTTGGGGATACAGTACTATATGTATGTATGTTCTGCCTTGCTGCATGATAAAATCCCTCCCTGAGCTTCTAGACTTGACTGCATGGCTGGTAGTGGAGTTGCCACAGCTGTAAATGCTGATGAACTTTAACCTCCATGCCCTTGATAGAGAGTTTGGGGAAAGTTTAGAAATTCATGGCAATTTTAAGTATGTTCCAAGTAATATTTGGCCTAACCTACATGGACAGTCACACTTTAGATCTAGTCTTCATTTCAGAGTAATTGGTACATGTTCTGAAATTGTTAAATTGAGTCTCCTCCTCCCTCCAAGTGCTGTTGTCCTGCCTTGTTGAAGCAAGGCAGTGATCCTAGGTGGGGCAAGCAAAGAACACTGGGGGTGTATTTCAAAGTATATGATTCCTGCATGGTCACTCAAGGCCTGAAGATCATCCCAGCTGCCCAGCTAAAGCAAGAAGGCACATACTGTATATCAGATAGTGATATAGAAACATGTTGCAGGCAGATGATCACTTCAGTAATAATGTCTATGACTTCATTTCATATTATGCAGGAGAAGGCAGTGGTAAACCACTCCTGAATTTTTCCAAGAAAACCACATGGATAGGCAAAATAAAATGATTGATGATATAGTGCTGGATGATGGGCCTCTCAAATCAGATGGCACTCAACATGCTCCTGAGAAAGAATTGAAGATCTTTAAGGGTACTAATAGTGTTTATGATGTGGCTAGTTGAAAGCCATTCAGACATCTTTCAGATATCTAGTTGCTGATGTTGCCATTCAGGAAAAGAAAATGTGAAGTTGCAAAGACAGTATTACAGTGGAACATGGCAAATAAGCATGAAAGTAGGAAAGCGCAACATTGACATCTTAGACATCAGCAAATTGAAATGGACTGGAATTTACATGAAAAAATATTATTTTATTTACTAAGAACACAAAAAACAAAGATGGAATGGTGTTGCTCCCATAATAAGGAAGGATATAGCAACAACAGTGCTTGAGTACAATATAATCAGTGACCAAATAATATCAGTTAGACTTTATGGACAGCCCTTTAATATGATGATTATCCAGGTTTGCGTTCTAACCACTGATGCAGAAGAAAAGGAGGTTGATGAGTGTTATTATCAAGTTCAATCTGAAATCAACAGAACATGCAAGACAAGCAGGTACAAGCAGAAATGACTCCTATATGCATGGGCTTTACCAGATGGAATACAGAGAAATCAAATTGGCTATATTGTTGGTCCCCTTCATGGATGACTGCCTTGTCGTGGCGAAGGGGCTTGCGTAACTCAGTGAAGCCA